CAAATGTAAATTGTTGCCAATTTGATGGGAGGATTATTAGCTCTGGCTAGACGGACTTGACAATCTAAAGGTTGTTCTCGCTTCTGGCATTCCTTCTCGTATATGGCCTGTCTGCCACAGTATGCATTCCATAATACGTTGAAAGGTTGTGAGGACTTGAAAATTTCTGTATTGTCAAAAAGATTGATTGAATTCTGTTGAAATTTTGGGGCCTGGAAAACAATAGTGTGGGCTTCTTGTAGGAGAATTGCTGGAGGGGCCCAAGGCTCTAGCGCTTTATTTGAAGCATGGATGTTTGTCCATTCGTACCAGATTGGAATGCCTAATTGCTGAAACCATTCTGGTGAGGGTTGTAATTCTTCTTGAGGAAGATAGATGAATATGCCAGCTCGAGGTATGATATGCTCAAAGGTTTTTTTTTTTTTTTATCAACAATTTATATAGCGGTGCTCGATGGCAGCCCGCTTGCTATCTACAAACACGTACGCTACACAGCCTGGTTACTAAGTAAACCACTAAAGGACGACCGCCCCCCCAACCAAGAGCCTTTGGGCTCAAACGCCGAAACTCCCCAGAGGGCAACCCACCTCGCGAAAACGGTGCATCGGGATAAGGGGAGGAAACCATCGAGGTTCCGCTACGCCCCAAAGTCGTCGCTGTTCGGAGGCCCTGCAGCGCAAATGAAATAAGAAAAGCACCACCCGGGAGGTGGCAGGGTGTCTTGAGGCCGACAAGCCAAAGGTGCGCCTGCCCGAAACCAGACGCAGAAAATTAGCGGCGCCGCAGTCCGCTACAATAGCGGCCGCAAGCACGAAGAAGTAGCGGTAGGTGCAGGTCTTCGAGCCCTAAGGCTCGGTGGTGTCAATTCACCATAAATCCCCTGAAAGGAGGAACAACCCCACCCGCAACGATTATCCGACACCCGAGGGGTCCCGGTTGAAGCCAAACGCCGTAGGGTTGTACTTCATAAACGATGCAATATCCCCGAGAAAACGGGGATAGTGTACGGAATATCTATCACGACAGCGAAAGAGGACATGCTGGCAAGACTGCAAAGCAGCCCCGCAAGTGCAGCCATGAGGCTCGTTGATCTTGAAGCGACGGTAATACGCTCCAATGGGCGCGTGGCCAGTTATGCACCGGCAGACGCGAGCGAACTCAGTGATACTGTGTCCGAAAGTTGAAAGCCAAGGTCCCCCATTGAGGTACGACGGCTGTAGCGGCCGCCCGTCAGGCTGTTGAAGCTCTAGAAATTCAGAGCCTCGGTAAGTTGGATCCTGGAAAGTGGAGCTCCACGAATCCAGGACTGAGTGCGCCGCTTGGGAGCGTAGCGCGTCTATAGAGTTGTCCGTCTTGCGACGTCCAACCCTGACTTTAAGCTCGGTGACGTACTTGTGTGCCTCACCATGAATGTCCCACCGCATAGCGGAAGGGACGTAGACGAAGGTAATGCGACGGAGATCATCCACCTCAAACCACTCTTGAAGAGCGCGACATACTGACAGACTAAAAGCCTGACCAGAATGCACGCCGGGGTCAACCGCTCTATGGGCCGAGCCCATAGAGTCAGTAAAGACCATAATATGTTGGCAGTTTGCCTGCTTGACAGCAAGGCGCACTGCACATGAGATGGCATTGAGTTCCGCATCTGGGGCGGTAACTCTGCCAGAGACATAGCGAGTTCTCTCGAGCTCGCGATGTCCCTTGTAGATGATGGCAGCCGAAGCCGCCTGATACTGGTTGGACTGAGGGACAGAGCCATCAGTTGCAGCCAGTACTGTTAGTGGGTCGGCCCTCGCTTTCGCGATGAGCGAGGTATGATATGCTCAAAGGTGCAAACAATTGATTGATACAGAGACTGTAGCCAAGCTTCTGAAAAACCTTTTTTGACGAGGTGGTGGTACCAGTTGTTGATAACTAGAGAAGGAATAGATGAAGATGATTTTGAGACTTCCTTCCACTGCGCCATTGCAACAAGATAGGACACAAAGCCTATCCAAACTCTAAACCAGTCTCTTGAGGCGGATATGGCCTTTTGTGAGGCGTAAAATGATTTGAAGTGGCGATTGTAACCCTGAGTCCATATGCATGGAGGCTGCATTGATGGGAGCCTGTACTGCTGTCGTAGAGAACTGGCTACTGTGGACAGGTAATGTTCCAGAGCAGCCCAGCGCTCACCATAAGATGGTGGAATAGTATAGCCTTCTTGCATTAAGACAGGATAAGGCAGGTGGGACAAGACACCAAACAAGTCTCCAGTAAAAACTGGGTGCTGAGGAATGAATGCCATCCATCCCCATCTTAAGTTCCACCACCTGGGTTGCAAGTACCAGGAAGGATTGTCATGTTTTTGCTTGAAGACATTGTTGAACCTTCCTTTGTCAGGATCTGGAGCAGGGAGAGCAACGTCCAAGGTGCTGTTAGGAGAATAAACAATGTGCCCATTTAAAACAAGGACCCTTCCCTGGCTACAACCTGGTTTAGCAGTGGGCTATCAGATATCTCAAGGGCATAGACTGACGCAATGGGAATTGGCATGTTAAAGGTCCAAATGTCTGGGGGCTTGAATTGGTTTGGTACCATATTCAAAGCTTGAAAGGAGCTTGCTGATGAATAGAAAGAACCTCATCGATCCGTTCCTTCTTTTACTTCCGAGGGCCCCACCCGGAAGCAGGTTCTCGTGTCGTTCGGGGGTACCCCTCCCGACCTCACGAAATTCTTCACCGAGTCGGCTGTTCGTGCAGCCAACGGATACCTCAGGGATGGTCTATATTTCCTCAACAATTTTATATAGCGGTGCTCGATGGCAGCCCGCTCGCTATCTACAAACACGTACGCTACGCAGCCTGGGTACTAAGTAAACTACTAAAAGACGTCCGCCCCCCCAACCACGAGCCTTATGGCTCAAACACCTAAACTCCCATAAAGCCAGACCCACCTCGTGAAAACGGTGACGTGGAATAAGGGGAGGAGACCATCGAGGCCCCGCTAAACCCCAAAGTCGTCAGACGCTGTTCGGAGGCCACGCAGCGCAAATGAAATAAGAACAGCACCACCCAGGAGGTGGCAGGGTGTCTTGAGGCCGACCAGCCAGAGAAGCGCCTGCCCGAAACCAGGCGCAGAGAGTTAGCGGCGCCGCAACCCGCTACAATAGCGGCCGCAAGCGCGAAGAAATAGCGGTAGGTGCAGGTCTTCGAGCCCTAGAGCTCGGTGGTGTCAATTCACCATAAATCCCCTGAAAGGAGGAACAACCCCGCCCGCAACGATTATCCGACACCCGACGGGTCCCGGTTGAAGCCAAACGCTGTAGGGTTGTACTTCATAAAGGATGCAATATCCCCGAGAAAGCGGGGATAATGTACAGAATATCTATCACGACAGCGAAAGAGGACATGCTGGCGAGACTGCAAAGCAGCCCTGCAAGTGCAGCCGTGAGGCTCATTGATCTTGAAACGACGGTAATACGCTCCAATGGGCACATGGCCAGTCATACACTGGCAAACGTGAGCAAACTCAGTAATACTGTGTCCGAAGGTTGAAAGCCAAGGTCCCCCATTGAGGTACGA